GTTATCAAAAACATTTTATATTTACTATTTGGTCACAAAAATACTTTTAAAATACAAAATTCACAACAGAAAACTGCACCATACGGGCTCTAAATATGAACAGAGCTTGAACTCAGGCTAAATTTCAAACAGTTAGTAAACATACTAGACTCGTTCTTGGCCCTAATTATACACAATTGAAGAATCATATCAGCTTAAAATGGGTTATTAGTAATAATTACCTATTACAGCTTGATTTGTTGAAGCCAGGTCCCTCCATGCAGGTTCCTTTCCATCTTGAAGGAATCTTCCCAATTGCCTCATCGCTGAAACTTGGAGACTCCGGCCATATACCTACATCCACAAAACTCAATTAAAACTGAGATAGTAATTCAATAGTACAACTTCCCTGCTTCTATTTCCACCAAGTAACAAGCTCAGCTCACCATCATCGTCCCCGCCCAACAGCAAGCTCTTCCTGTTTCTCCCTGTTCTCTCTCAGACATTTCATCAAACAGTTTTACTACAACTTTTGAAGTCTCTTGCATTTTCCTTCCCGATCTTAAATATTTCTTTCAACAATCTCAGATGCTAATTAATAAGTCGCAACTGATTCTAACTTACTAATCTAAACACATAATATCCGACGGAGATATGTTCAAGTACGGCCGGCGTGTATGTAGATTCCGGTGCATATAGTTGAGTTATCCGCTTATTCGTATCGTTCCATTACCAGACTAAGATGTAATTTGGAAAGTTATATTATACATATACATATATATATCTTTTTAAACTCAAAACCATCTTTATTTTCTGGGTTGGAATTTGAATTCCCAATTTAAAGACGAGAAAATTGCAGATTTAACCATTAAGGATGTAAGAAGAAAATGAAAGTAACTCCAGTTCAACTGTGATTTAAGTTTTTTTTTTTTTCAATTTTCTATTTTATAAAAATGGGAATGAAAATATTATAGATATAATAAACAATTTAAATAAATCAAATATTCTAATTATTTAATGACTTTATTTATTTAGAAAAAAAAAAAAAAACTATTATTTAACCTTTCTTACTCTACAAAATTTGTTCAATTTCACTTTTATTAACGTAATTAATAGATAAAATTTATTGGAAGTGTACTTATATAATTCATGTTTTTACATTAATTTAGTGTATCTGAGTTGCATCAATTTATAAAAATTTTATTTATATAATCATTTTATTCGAATGTCATATGAGTCATTATGTTATTATACTCATGTAAAATTCTTGAGTTACGTTTCTATAAAATCAAATACTCTGAGGAAATATTCGTTTATGATGATCACATGAGTAGTAGAATTAAATAGAAGTAAAAGAATTAGATAACCTATACATACGTGTATATATATAAACACATATAATAAAAATATAGTATTTAAGGGGGGAAAGGCAAAAAGTAAGTTGCATGCCTGTGTCTACGATTCCAATTATAATATCATTTGATGGCGGGAGGTGTGAGAAGATGCCTGAATTCTCCTTCAAGAAATCCCAAGAACGAGTTGTGTGGAGTTCAAGAACAGGATCAGGGAATACAGACACTATTTCCTCATGCCCTAATTTTTTTTTAATTAATTAACATAATTAATAGTTAAATACCCATTAACAAATATATTAACTATAAACTCAATAATTATATATTAATTACCAGAGAGCAAAGATGCTTCCTTCTCAGTAAGCATGGCAGAGAAACCTTTGAAGGCATGATGGTAATGGTGAATCAGTTGTATTCTCTCACTCTCTTCCCTGCAAAACAATTAAATCAATTCTTTAATTTTTTTAATAATTATAAACAGTAATTACTAGTAGAATTTACTAAATCTTTTTTTACAAAAAAAAAAAAAAAACCATCTTAAATTATGGTTTTACTTTTTCATGTCAGTTTTAGATAGAATTATTAATTTTTCAGAAGATATTTAGAATTTATAAATGTAAATAAGTAAAAACAAAAAAGTATGAAATAATAAAAATTAAATATAATATTTTCAATAATTAATAATTTCATCTAAAATGAGAAAATTTTAACTCAAAAAGTACTACCAAAAATTCCAAAATTCAAATGAATATAACCTTGGAATAATGGAGGCTAAGAGTTGAAGATGAGAAGACTGTAGTAGTTGAACATCTACCAATTGATTTGGTTCTTTTGATAAACTTCCCATGTAAACAACATAAGGCTGCAAATATGCCAAATTACAGTAATGGTTACATATAACTACATACATATATATATATATATAATTATGTATGTGAATTCATAGAATTTTTTTGAGAGAAAGAAAAACATTTGGGGTTCATTTGTAGTACCATGGGAATGTGTTTTGACGAAGTGAGAGAAAATATAAAGGGGAGAAAGAGGAGGGGATGAAGAAGAGAAGTCATTGAAAGAATTGAAATG